ATTTGAGAAACTGGAATATTCTTCTGGAGGAAATAGGGATTGGCAGAATTAGAGCTCCTGACTATTCATCAATCCACATACTGTAGCGTGTGCCTACCTGGAGATACACTGAAGCTTTTTTTCATAACAGTAACCCCCATTCTCCTGCACAATTAGGAATCTAAGTAGACACTGTGGAAGATTATGACAGATTTAATCAATGCCAACGCCAAACCAGACACCACTATTAACGCACTGTGGGAGACTTTAAAAGTAGTTATATAGTGGGAACACATCAAAGAGCTCAGCTTCCTTAAATCATTTTCAGCTACTGAAAGTCATTTATTGCCAGAAATAAACAATTTTGAAGATTGACATGAAAAAGATTGAAAAGGAAGAGAATTTGATGTGAGCTGGAAAGAAAGTGAAGAGAATTCAGTGTTCTTGACATTAAATTTCCCTAGAGACTGCATTAAACATTTTATATGTTCTGAAATGAGAGATCTAAATTACTAGCAAATTATTTCAGAATGAGAAACCTAAAATGCAAATTGCTGCTTTTAAGGATGCAACAGAAAAAATAGTTTTAAAAATGAATACAATTATTGGTAAGTTTTTTTAATCCTCCATATAATTAAATAACTTTGATGAATTCAAAATTGACAGCATAGTATCTAAAATAAACTCTAAGTGTTTTGTCTGGTTCATAAATATTTTTAAAGGCAATGTAATACACCTGACAAACTGAAGGCAACTCAATACTGAAAAGCAACTCCACGCTAGCCTCTCAGGTGGCAATCACCTAAAAGAGATAATGGAGAGTTAAAATGTGGCACACAGGCCTTCCCAAGAAGCGGACATGTCAAGGAAACACTCTAAACTTAATGAAACCTGGTTTGCCCTCCCCCCCCCCAAATGCTATCCACCTATGATGCATGCTGACTTAATGGAAGCATCTGCTGAACTGACTGCTATGCACAACAGATGCCTGAAATTAAATGATGCTGTCAACATTTGGTTATCCATGGTTTGTTACTGTTACCCTCTCTTCCACTCATTCATACTATTGCACTATTTAGCTAAACAAAACTAAAATAAATAGTAATGTTTTGTAGGAGGAAAGAAACAGTCTCTAAATCAAACACTACTTTGGAATCTTAAAACAAAGAGCGGCTATTTTATCTGAGAAACTGAACTTTTTCAGGAAAAGACCATCCTCTTAAAATATAGACAGGCTATTTGAATTTGTGACCCAACCAAGAAGCAATGCACAAGCCTAAAAATGTACACAAATATGTATCATTTTACTGCAACATTCTCTTGTTTTTATTAGATTTGTACAAAAAAGTAATTTTGTATATAAAACTGGCATTCTGTGTATAATTTAAAACACACACTTCTCATGTACAGCACTATAACTTGATGATATCAGTAATATGGCATTGAAACCAATCGTATTCCTGAGTTAACCATGTAAAGTAACTTCAGATTATATTGCCAATAAGACACTTTAGAGCAGAGGTGAGCAACCGTGGTCTGCCAAAAGGTAAGACCTATAACCTCAGCAAGCCCTACCTGGCTTAAACAGGGATGACACATTGTCGGAGTTGCTCTCTGAAACATCAAGAGGGTCACAGTTGCCTATCCCTGATTTTAAAGTAACAAAGTTATAATTTTCAAAACACGTCTTGTGCCTCTGAAGCCAACACAATCAGTGCAAATAGATGCTACAAGATCTTATCTGATGGAGGTCGCAATCTAATTCTGCTCAACTTCAGATGAAATGTGCTAATTTATTTAACTCTAAAATACTCTTAATTCAGTTTTGCACATTAACAAAAATAAATAAATTTTCAAAGCAGAATCAAAAACAGTCCCCTCTAAACATGACACGGTTAAAAAAAGAATAAGGTATTCATGCATAAGGTTTTCCTCTCAGAAGTCAACATTAAACAAAAAAATAAATATGACATTCACTAAATGTGCAAACTGGGCCCTAATGTTGCAATGTTTAGGCTGTAAAGCAATGTATTTCTTCACTAGTGTGTCCAAGATCTTGCAGAAACCTGTAATGAAAAACAAAATGGAATTCACAAATAATAATGTACTGGGAAGTAGAGCCAGTGATACAAACAGAGGTTTGGGGTTTTAGTAAAGCAGCATAGTGTAAAACTGAATCGTTAGCTGACACTATAAAACTGATTACTATTCTCATCCTTTAACATAAATGCAACTTTATATTAAACAATAAGAGTCAGCCAGCATTCTCATTCTCAACATTCAGATGTTGTTGGACTGCAATTCCCATGAGTCCCAACGAGGAATGTTGGGAACTGTAGTCAAAATATTTTGAGAGCTACATTTGGCCCACTGCTATTCCATACAACTGTTCACATATGCCTTGATACAGTGTCAATGTAATTCCACAACAAATCACAGGATCAGACTAAAATGTTATTGTAAATCAAGAATTATTCATATATTGCTTTATAGAAAAGTATTGCCCAGAAATGCTAAGCCACACCCTAAGCATCAACACCCTAAGCCCAGCTGTGTATTTCCTTGTTCCTTACAACCTATGAGGCCTGTAAAACCTCTACTGATATTTTCCTCTAAAATAATACTGTTGCTGCTGTTAAATAATTTCCCATAAGTATGGCTGCAGAACAAGCAACAGTAGGGAACTATCTTCAAGCATAAAAAGCCCATCAGATATAAAACTTGGGAATCACCAGTGGTTTTCTACTTACTGTATTCCTTGTTCCATAAAAGGTAATGGACCACAGATACATATGAGAATCTTAGAACCATGTGTACTTCTTTTCACAAACTGAGAAAGAAGAGAGGAAGAAATTTTTCCTTGTTTGCCTGTCCATTCTTCTTTCGGCTCTGAAAGAACCAACTGAATGTCAAACCTGGGAAAGATATTAAACAGATGTTTACATCTCACACATCAGGATAAAGCAAATGTTTACCAATTCACTTTGGGATATCTTCTAACCCTGTAAGAATTCAACTGCACTTATGCTAAGCAGTAGGGCTAATGTTAAACTGACATGACCCTTATTTCCTGGACCTACTAAAAATTCCAATGTCATCCAACATCAGGGGGTTAGTCTGCTGACAACCAGAATGCATCACTTCTGATTCTTAACATCATAATTTATCAAACTGTGGCATGAAACAATTTTTTCATCCCAAAACAATTACGCTAGTTGGGACAGAAAGTAACAAACAGCTGGGATCCTTACACAGACAGCAGTTAAAGAATAATGCATGAACCTAAATCCCACCAGAGAAACTACAGTCATCCTGATGTGTTTAGTGTTGATATGCTAATATAATGGCCAAAATCCTGTTACAAATTTTAAGGAACCATAACACAACTGATGTGAATTGTTGGTAATTAGTAAGTCAGCATAGACATTTACATTTGCACACCAAGTGGCACATCTCAGCATATACAGAAAAAGCTCACACTTAATGTCTTAACTCATGTTAATTTTTACTGACTATTATGCCAGCAGGCATAAGTACTGTAATAGGATTTGGGTCAATGTGCTTAATCTAAAAGTTCCCTTCTGTAGAGATCCACTGAAAGCGAACTACTAAAAGATGAACAGATTTCCGCTGCTTCTGCCTTCAGCCCCTGTACCACTCCCCTCATTGTCCCCTCAGTCCTCCTGAATACGCACAGATTCAGTCCCTTAACAGAGCAACTGGAAAATACCCCTGCCCCAAGAAGGAACATCCTGTGTTACAGGAAGTCTGGATCCAAACCAACATATTCTGCAATGTTATCTTCCTAGAGGTACTGAAAGGCTAATTTTTAACACAATGTGCCAGCACAACTAGTCACTGATGCTGGAGAGGGGGAGTATCTTTTCAAGCTAATATTCAATGCAACTGGCTTTTGGAACAGACTATGAGCACAATATAGGGACGTGGGGCTGCGGGTTAAACCACAGAAGCCTCTGGGCTGCAGGGTCAGAAGACCAGCTGTCGTAAGATCGAATCCACACAACCAAGTCAGCTCCCATCACTTGTCCTAGCTCCTGCCAACCTAGCAGTTCGAGAGCATGTAAATGCGAGCAAATAAATAGGTACCACCACAGAGGGAAGTTAATGGCGTTCCGTGTCTAGTCGCGCTGGCCACGTTACCATGGAAACTATCTTTGGACAAACGCTGGTTCTATGGCTTGGACACGACTGGACTAAATGTGCAAGGGGGACCTTTACTTTTACCTTATGAGAACAACACAGAACTCTGCTTCCCATTTCCCTGGCCTTTTTACCTTATGAGAACAATACAGAACTCTGCTTCCCATTTCCCTGGCCTCAAATTCCCAAATGCTTCATGTATAAAAAGATCCTGGGAACAGGAACAATTACCTTCATGTACAGAACTGGATCTCTCTCTTTTCACACCAGCACAAAAAACATTCACCTAAAAACAGTTGTGAGGGGGTCTATACACAGGCCCATCTTGTATAGCAGTTTTCTTTTTTCTAGATGGAACTACTAATCATGCCTTTATGTAGGATAGCTGGGAAAAGGCATATGGACGGGTGAAACAGGTGTGTGAACCTCCATACAAAGTGGGTCTTCAGCTGTGTTAACTGTCAGAATGAGCCTTCAGCTGGATAAGCTGTCAGTTATCTGAAGGCAGCCCTCAGATGCCACAGGGATCGGCAAGAGGAAAGAGAGATTAAAATCTATTCCCCACAGTATTGGTGTCCTCACTGCATTTGGACAGGCTGAAAATGAAAGTGCCTTCACATATCTCCCAAGCTCTAATGAAAAATGGCTCCATGCCGTGAATTGTACAAGGTATTCTGGGCAAAGGAGCCCCAGCAAAGGTAGAAATAAAGTTCCTGTATTTTCACTCCAAATCAAAAAGAAATGTAATTTCCTTCTGCTCTGCTATGAAAATAACATTATCACTCTCCTGACAGAATATAACTTAAAATGGGGGGTGGGGGAGAATTTTTTAGATAGCCGTCTCTGCATCAGAATGTATCAACTGTTTCTACATCAAGAAGCAATAAGGAGACTGGTCAGAAAGAGCTGAGCTTTAACTCTCTTTTTAAACATCACAGACAGTTACTCTGCGCAGCCGCTTCCCACAGCCCAAAGCACCTCATTAATAATTCACAGAGCAATTTGGAAGGTTGAAAAAGAAAGCTCCCATTTGTTTAATCACTGAGTTTCAGAGTTTAATGCAACATGGAGGAGTAACCAGTGAGCGGCAGGAATGGCATGGGGTTAATTTAAGATTACAGCCCATCTACAGATTCGTTTAGATTGTCTTCTCACATCAGTTTCATATACTTGCGGTGCACACAGCTCTGTCTTCATAGCATACACTGTTTAAAGCTAATCGGTGCTTCTCAGAACTGTAAGCAGCCCTGTATGGCACCCATTCAACTGTGAAGCATGAGTGCAAGTCCCTCGTGAGGAAGAAAATAAAGTGGCCCCTTAAAAGAAAAAGAAAGTTTATAATGTCATTTAAAAAAAAGACAGTAAAAGGGGGCTGAGAAGGGTAGTCCTTTACTTTCTTAACATTGAAAAATTCAATTCTAGATTTCACGGCCCTCTAAATTTGGTGCCCTCAGTTGCTCCACCATAATTACAGCTCCGATACTGCGGCCTAAAGAGGATTTGAGGGATTTCAGCAGTAGTCTGCGTCTTCAACAGTTAACATACTGTTCTCTGGTATGGATTGCGAGGTTGGGAGTTGGCAAACTCCTGCTGTAAGGGAACAGAGGACCAACTTGCTGTGTCCCCTAAATGCCCCATTGCAAGGTTTGGGCAACTATAGGAAGACAGGAGACTGAGCAGCTTCCTTTGTGCCATGCGGGGCAAAGCCTAATGTTAGTCAAGGACTCAGTGTTACCAGACAAAAATTATATAAACTTGTTTCATAAATGAATTTCTGCAAACAGGTACCTAGCATCATCAAGGGCTAACTGCTCCAGCTGATTTCTCCATAGTATATCCTCTTCCATTTTGTTAAAAAACATCAATTTTGCCGTTCTTTAAAAAACAGAAAACCACAGCTTCAATATTTAAAAACAGCAATTAGATATACCGTATGAAAATGGAATGTATTGAATACTGCAACATCCTAAGATGCAAGCCCTCTTCCCTAAGAAGTGCTTTTAGTTTTGCCATAATGTGTTGAGCTATGTCATTAATTTAACATTAATGAAAAATCCATTATGCCTTTACTGATACACTGTGGGGGAAGAAGGCAGGGTGAGAAGAAAGGTTCCAGCTGCCTCCTCCTTCCTGCTTTCTCTTCCTTCATTCCAGGAAGATCAGTACTATGTTGCTACCATGGCTCATCTTTATATATATATATAAAACATTGTATAGCAACATACTGTAGGAAGGCTACTTCATCAGCACCCTCCCTACAGTATGTTGCTATACAATGTCTTCCCATTCATTCCCTTTCTTCTCTTGGCACCCTGAAGCAAACAAAGTGACTCTTTAGGCACAGCC